GCGTTACTGATGACAAACTGGATTTTCTAACTGTACATGTGGTACATTTCTAACAGCATCATGTGGAAGGCAATGTGCTGATTCAGAGTTGGGTAAATTTTCTTGCCTGTTTGTTTCTGGGCTCAGCTGATTGCGGACATCGCTGCTGCCATGGTAGATGGAAGGGCCATTTCCTGGGGGCTGGGCTTTCATGTCCACATGATGAGGTGGCTGGGAAGGGAGCATTTTCTACAGTACAAGAAGGTCAAGAACTGATTCCCGAGTGTGACTGGAAACAAACTAATTAAGGATTGTTTTTTGGGATCAGTTTGTTCTCAGTCCAACTTGGCAAAAGGCAGTTCTTGATCCTGTCCTGGGAAATGAATAGCAAAAGTGAGTAATGAGAGGGGTGGGGAGTGTCCAGCAACCAATGGCCACAACATTATTAGGTTTGACGTCAACATTGTAAAGTAGGAGAACAGCCAAGAACACTCGAAAAAAGACAAATTTAAAGCAATTGAGAAAGATAAACTGGGTAGGAAGATAGAAGATCGGACAGTAATAATAACAATAATAATAATCCTTACATTTGATATAGCGCTTTTCACAAGTCCACAGATACTGTGCCTGACATCGAAAATGCTGTCAAATACCCAATTGAGTTTTTAAACCCTTTGTAACCTTGCGGTTGGTACGCCTCCACACAAACTCATACTACAGGTTGGATGCATAATCATGTTGTTGAGGAATCTGGATGCACCAAAGCTATGCAATGGCACAAGGTTGGTGGCAAACATGTTATGGAAGCAACTATTCTGACTGGTCAGTTCAAAGGGAAAGATGTATTAATCGTCATATCCCACTGCTCCCAAGTGACTGCCCGTTTGAGTTCAAAAGGTTCCAATTCCCTGTTCAAATGTGCTTTGCCATGTCAATTAACAAGGCACAGGGGCAGAGCTTAAAGGTTGTGGGCCATTTTTTGAATACACCTTGCTTTTTCCATGGACAATTCTATGTTGGCTGCTCACGTGTGGGTTCATCTCAAAACCTGTACATCAGGGCTGAAGAAGGAAAAACTGCAAATGTGGTCTACGCAGAAACCTTGCAATAAATCAAGTACTTGCCGGATCACACAGTAAACCCCTTTGGTTAGAATAGCTTGGATAAGGTCTTCTATCGTTGACGCAAACAAGCTCATCGCACATGTCTGGCAGTTTTGCTTCAGGTGTACGCACAGTGTTTATGGCATGTTTATGGTTTGTGAGTGGGTATCACTGAAATCTACATTCCATATTGGATCCTGGCAAGCGAAGCTGCAACAGGTAACCCTAGTCTGAAATAAAAACAAATTGTTGGGAACACTAAAGGTCATCGACCCGAAACATTAACTTACTGGATGCTGCCTGACCTGTTGAGTATTCCCAGTGACTTCTGTTTTTATTAATGAAACTGTTAACATTGGTAATAGCATGGTAACAGACATTTTGATAAGTATTGGCTGTTTCTCTTCATGGCTGTTTATGGGACTTTGTTGTTTGCAAATTGGCTGCAATATTCCACCACAAAAATAGAGTCAATCCTGTGAACCATTTAGAGACGTTCTCACAATGTGAAAAGCGCTCTATGAAAATGGAGGATTATTGTTAACCACACAGGAAAGTCCCCCTGACTCTGGGCAGTGAGCTAGCTATCCATGACCCACTGCACACGTAAAGGAAATGGAACAAATGTTCCCCTGCATTCTAGGAACATTCTGAACTGTACATTGACTTAATGTTGACCACATCCCCTCAGAGCTTAAGTCAGCAACTTGGTTAATGTCTCCCAATGTGTCTGAAACCCATCATTTTCCAAGTCACTTGAAACACATTTGGTTGCTTTATTCATTTTTTAAAGCAATATATATTTTTTCAAAAATAGAATATCCATAATAATAATCCTTATATTTGTCTTATCACATCTTCGAGATGTCTCAAAGCGCTTCACAGAATATGACTGTATATTTTGTGGGCGAAACGCAGCAGCCAATTGTGTACAGCAGCGTCCCACAAACAGCTGTGGATTAAATGACTTTTTTTAATTTATTTTTTGAAGGGATTATTACCCCCGGAAAAGTGATCCACCAATCAACTAACAAACGGGTTCCTACTTACTGCTGGTAAACAGAGGCGTGTGGAGTAAGGAAACTTTTCGCCCAACATTTCAGCCTGTCCTGCCCGGGAATCAAACCCAGGTCCTCTCGCTTGTGAGACAAATGCTCTAACCCCTGAGTTACAGGACGCTTATCTCACTTATCTCAAAAGAAACAATTCCCGCAACTCATTATTATCCCATTACAGGACACAACAGATCCAGCCCCTGTGGCGGGGTGGGGGGGCCCTGTGCACTCCACTTTGGTGGAGGGACCAATGTTTCCCCGTCTCGGGATTCTGCCACCCTTTGCACAGTGCAGTTACAAGTGGGGTCTTGTATCTCCCTCCCTGTTGCGCGCCCCCCCCCATGGACCATTTCCATCGTCCCTTCCGCTCCACCATCAGTGGCTATACCTTCAGCCACTACACCCTGAAACTCTGGGACTCTCCCTCAATCCTCCACCCTGCAAATTTTTCCTTTTTAAGTACCTATCCAATTCCCCTTTGAAAGTTATTATTGAATCTGTTTCCTCCACCCTTGGAAGCGCATTCCAAACCATAACAATTCTCTGTGTAAAAAAAGAGTCTCCTTGTATAGTCTCTGGTTCTTTTGCCAATTATCTTGAATCTATGTGCCCTGGTTACCGACCCACCGGCCAGTGGAAACAATTTCTCACGATCTACTCTATCAAAACCCCTCATAATTTTGACCACCTCTATTAAATCTCCCCTTAACCTTCTCTGCTCTGAGGAGAACAATCCCAGCTTCTCTAGTCTTGCCACATAACTAAAGTCCCTCATCGTTGGTGATCCGGTCACCTGACTTGCTCGTGTGATTGTCTTCAAAACAAACTGAGAGTTCCACATGTACCTGGCATCTCCACATGGAAATTTTCCTGTGTTTGGAATGGTAAGCACACCCTCTCCCTGGTTATCCTGTTTACCTAATTCTGAAGAGTATTAGGTGCAGGATGGCAAGAGTCAACTTACGCCTAATATCGTGTTACAGCATCACCTCAAAGGCTCCAGTTATCAGCCTGTGTGCTACAGGCCGCAGACTGCACTCTGCACTCTCCTCAGCAACTCAAAGCCAAAGATTGTAGATTAGGCTCACGGCATCGTCCCCACAGGAAATCCAGCAACAGAACAGAAACTCACTCACAACACAACAATCAGTCAAAATCGCAATTTATTCCACAGTTCAGGAGACCAGTGAACCTTCCTGTGTATAAACTCTCAGTTATACATCAGCATCAAACATGGGTTTGTGACAGAAACACAGGCTTCCCGGTGACATGCACAGTTGTAATTTCTCATGTCATTGGCTCTCAGTCAGGAGGTGGATGTTTAAGGAATGATTCTGGAAGGGCTTGTATATTTAAGATGCTGTGTAAAATCACTTCTGTTCAAAAAAAAAGCAGCCCTTGAATTCACCAAACTCAGAATGAAACTCAGTCTGGTTTCTATTTCTGGTGACGTGATACAATTCACCATGAACAATGCGGACAAATTGAGGGAACCAAAGATTATGGCTTGTTATAGCTGAAGCTTACAGTGTCCACATAAATCATCATCATTGACCTGGACTCAGCAGTTACTGGGAATTGATCAGAAAGGAACAATTCAATATATATTGAAGAGACCAATATCTGAGCTTTTCAATATTTCTCCCAAAGGCTGGTGCCCAGGGGCACAACCCCACTCACTGCTTTCCTCTATTCAAACAGGTCCCTCTCTTACATCTTTAACACAATAGAATACGCTTGTCCTCGTGCTCCTAATACAGTAACAATAATACAGTGGGGGGTACGAATCTCGAGAGGTTTGAGCTAAAATGGCTTTGATGTTGAAGGTAGCAAGACAGTGGCCTCCCCACATCATCCCACGATCCATCTATCCATTCTCTGGGCGCTTTGCTCCTTCCGTTTGGCCCCAAATGACATCCTGATCATCTGGACTCTTCCCATGAAGCAACAGCCAATGACGCAGAATTCAACACAAATTATAAAACAACACGATTTTATACAGAAACAGCGGGACAAGAAAAGGACACGGAGTTGGTTCTTTTTAACTCTACCTACATTCTTATTTTAAAAAAAAACGGTGCCACTGGCCCTCAAAGGCACTTTGTCCAAAATGTTCCTCCAGAGTCAGCTACAGAGGAGACCTCAGACTCAGCTCTCGGTTTTGCTGGCACATTCCATTTTAGAAGGCGAGGTTTCGGGCCGTTTGGGAGTGGAGAGATGCTCTAACTCGTACCGTCCCGAAGCCGGGGCCTTCTTTGCCCCCAGGCTGCCCTCCTCCTCCATCTGCTGCTTCTTTTGCTCAATGATTTGTTGCATTTGGGAGTTGGCGTACTCGGGTTTGGAGGTCAAAGCGACAGCAGGAACACTCATGGTTAGGATGTCAGCCACCATGTAAGGCTTCAGCCAGCCCACCAGCGGGGTGCTTCCCGGGGTGTAATGTGTCTGCGTGTGGTAAAACAGCAGCCCGTCCACCTGAAAAATACCAGCCAAGGAATCACACCTTTCTCAACACAGGATTTTACCTCTTACTCTCTATACACACAACAACAACTTTCATTTATATAGCAAGAAGTCCTGTAGCTCAGAGGTTAGAGCACTTGCCTCGCAAGCAAGAGACCTGGGTTCGATTCCCGCCTGTTAATTGATTGGCGGATCCCTTTTCCAGGGGTAATAATTCCTTCAAAAAAATGATAATTTGGTCACTCAATCCACGACTGTTTGTGGACACTTCTGTGCGCAATTTTGCCCACAAAACACAGTCACTACACTTTACAATATATTCTGAGAAGAACTTTGAGACGTCTGAATGATGTGATAAGGCGTTATATCAAATACAAAGATTATTATTATGAATATTAGTTACCTGCCCTTTCCCCCGGCTCAGCGTTTTGCAGTGTCAAGTGTTCTGGGGCTTCCCTGCGTGAGGGGCGCTATATAAATGCAGGTGGTGGTAGTTGTTACACTTCAGAATTCATAAACATCGGATGTAAAGTGCACTAGTATTGTGACATTTAAATTACAAATGATCGATAATCAAATATAAAGATTAATGTAAATATCACACTGAGGTACAAGGCCTCCTGTGGACTCTCTAATACAGGAAACTATCAAATGTTGGGTTCTGCTTTGACATTTGACCCTACAGTCCATTCCCATCCCTCATTCCCCACAAAACACAGTCACTGCACTTTACAGTAAATTCTGTGAAGTGCTTTAGGATGTCCTCCCTACGTGAAAGCAAATGCAAGGATTGTTGTTATTATTATTAATAATAGCTCGATGGGATATATTGAGTCAAAGCAAGCAGCGGGATAGATAGAGTTTCATTCTAAAGTTCTCTCTTTATTCAGGTATTCATGTCTATACATGCCTATGTTTTCCCCCTTTTGCCTACATTTCGCCCTCAAAATACAGTCAATTGACTTTGCAGTGTGTTTTGTGAAGCGCTTTGAGACATCTCGGAAGACATGATAAGGCGTTATACCACATACAAGGATTATTATTATTATTGATATCTTGTATTTCTGTAATCATAGAATCATAAAATTATACAGCACAGAAGGAGCCCATCATGTCTGACCCGGCTCTTTGAAAAGAGCTTTTCCGAATCAACTCTACTCCCTCACTGTCTCCCCATAGCCCTGATCAACCCCACTCCCCCGCGCTCTCCCCATAGCCCCGATCAACCCCACTCCCCCGCGCTCTCTCCCCATAGCCCTGAACAACCCCACTCCCCCGCGCTCTCCCCATAGCCCCGATCAACCCCACTCCCCCCACTCTCTCCCCATAGCCCTGATCAAACTTGTCCTCCCCAAATAATTATCTACTTCTCTCTTAAAAGCCGTTATGGAATCGGTTCCCACCGGCCTTTCAGGCAATGCATTCCAGATCCCAACAACTCACTGTGTGAAAACATTTCTCCTCACCTACGGGTGAGGGGGGGTTGGGGTGAGGGGGTGGGTAGGGGTGAGGGAAGGCAGAGAGGTGGGAGGGAGACCAAAGGCACGGCCGAAGAGAAGGGTCTTGAGACCGGCCTTGAAGGAGGTGAGGGAGGAAGCGAGGCCAAGGGACCGTGGATGGAGTTCCAGAGTGTGGGGGCAGAGAGGCTGAAAGTCCGGCCACCGATGGTAGGGTGGGGCGGGCGGGAGACATGGAGCAGCCGGAGACCGCTGAACGGAGGGAGTGGGCGGGTTGGTAGGGGGTCAGCAGGTCAGAGAGGTAGGACCGGGCAAGGCCATGGATGGCCTTAACGGTGAGGACGAGGATCTTGAATTCAATCCTCTGGGGGATGGGGAGTCAGTGGGGTCGGGCGAGGGTGGGAGTGATGGGGTCGGGCGAGGGTGGGAGTGATGGGGTCGGGCGAGGGTGGGAGTGATGGGGTCGGGCGAGGGTGGGAGTGATGGGGTCGGGCGAGGGCGGGAATGATGGGGTTGGAGGAGGGTGGGCGTGATGGGGTCTGGCAAGGGTGGGAGTGATGGTGGGAGTGATGGGGTCGGGAGACGGTAGGAGTGATGGGCTCGGGCGAGGGTCAGAGTGATCGGGTCGGGCGAGGGTGGGAGTGATGGGGTCGGGCGAGGGTGGGAGTGATGGGGTCGGGCGAGGGTGGAGTGATGGGGTCGGGCGAGGGTGGGAGTGATGGGGTCGGGCGAGGGTGGGAGTGATGGGGTCGGGCGAGGGTGGGAGTGATGGGGTCGGGCGAGGGTGGGAGTGATGGGGTCGGGCGGGGGTGGGAGTGATGGGGTCGGGCGAGGGTGGGGTGATGGGGTCGGGCGAGGGTGGGAGTGATGGGGTCGGGCGAGGGTGGGAGTGATGGGGTCGGGCGAGGGTGGGAGTGATGGGGTCGGGCGAGAGGGTGGGAGTGATGGGTCGGGGGGGGGGGAGTGATTGGGTCGGGCGAGGGTGGGAGTGATGGGGTCGGGCGAGGGTGGGAGTGATGGGGTCGGGCGAGGGTGGGAGTGATGGGGTCGGGCGAGGGTGGGAGTGATGGGGTCGGGCGAGGGGGAGTGATGGGGTCGGGCGAGGGTGGGAGTGATGGGGGGGGGGTGGGAGTGATGGGGGGGGGGGGGAGTGATGGGGTCCGGCGAGGGTGGGAGTGATGGGGTCGGGCGAGGGTGGGAGTGATGGGGTCGGGCGAGGGTGGGAGTGATGGGGTCGGGCGAGGGTGGGAGTGATGGGGTCGGGAGAGGGTGGGAGTGATGGGGTCGGGAGAGGGTGGGAGTGATGGGGTCGGGAGAGGGTGGGGTGATGGGGTCGGGCGAGGGTGGGAGTGATGGGGTCGGGCGAGGGTGGGAGTGATGGGGTCGGGCGAGGGTGGGTGTGATGGGGTCGGGCGAGGGTGGGGTGATGGGGTCGGGCGAGGGTGGGAGTGATGGGGTCGGGCGAGGGTGGGAGTGATGGGGTCGTGGGGGGTGGGAGTGATGGGTCGGGCGAGGGTGGAGTGATGGGGTCGGGCCAGGGTGGGAGTGATGGGGTCGGGCCAGGGTGGGAGTGATGGGGTCGGGCGAGGGTGGGAGAGATGGGGTCGGGCGAGGGTGGGAGTGATGGGGTCGCGGAGCCTGGTGCGTGAGAGTACACGAGCTGCAGAGTTTTGATGATCTGCAGAGTGTGAAGGGAAGAGTTGGGAAGGCCGATGAGGAGGGAGTTCCCATAATTGAGCCTTGAGGTAACGAATGTGTGGGTGAGGGTTTGGGGGCCTGAGGGGTGAGGCAGCGGCGGAGTCTGGGGGATGGGGAGTCAGTGGGGTCGGGCGAGGGTGGGAGTGATGGGGTCGGGCGAGGGTGGGAGTGATGGGGTCGGGCGAGGGTGGGAGTGATGGGGTCGGGCGAGGGTGGGAGTGATGGGGTCGGGCGAGGGTGGGAGTGATGGGGTCGGGCGAGGGTGGGAGTGATGGGGTCGGGCCAGGGTGGGAGTGATGGGGTCGGATGAGGGTGGGAGTGATGGGGTCGGGAGAGGGTGGGAGTGATGGGTCAGGCGAGGGTGGGAGTGATGGGGTCGGGCGAGGGTGGGAGTGATGGGGTCAGGCGAGGGTGGGAGTGATGGGGTCGGGCGAGGGTGGGAGTGATGGGGTCGGGCGAGGTGGGTGTGATGGGGTCGGGCGAGGGTGGGAGTGATGGGTCGGGTGAGGGCGGGAGTGATGGGGTCGGCGAGGGTGGGAGTGATGGGTCGGGCGAGGTGGGAGTGATGGGGTCGGGCCAGGGTGGGAGCCGACGGGGGTCGGGCCAGGGTGGGAGCTGATGGGGGTCGGGCGAGGGTGGGAGAGATGGGGTCGGGCGAGGGTGGGAGTGATGGGGTCGCGGAGCCTGGTGCGTGAGAGTACACGAGCTGCAGAGTTTTGATGATCTGCAGAGTGTGAAGGGAAGAGTTGGGAAGGCCGATGAGGAGGGAGTTCCCATAATTGAGCCTTGAGGTAACGAATGTGTGGGTGAGGGTTTGGGGGCCTGAGGGGTGAGGCAGCGGCGGAGTCTGGCAATGTTGTGGAGGTGGTGGTAGGCAGTGCTGGTCATGGCGCGGATGTGGGGGAGAAAGGACAGTTCAGGATCAAACAGGACACCCAGGTTCCTGACTGGCTTAGTGAGGTGGAGTGTGCCTCCGGGGAGGCTGATTCTGCCAGCGCCTGAGGTAAGGGGGGCAAGGACATCGAGGGTGGTGGAGAGGGTGCTGTGGAGAAGAGTGAGTGTAGCGAATGGGTTGTTGCGAGAGGTGGGCCAGAGGGGGAGGAGATCAGAGGATTCCAGAGCAGCAGAGAGGGATTGTGGGGAGAGCTTCTTCCATGGGCGGTAGAAGATGTTGGTAGGTTTGGAGGCAGTGGGGAGAGGGACATAGTAGTTGAGGGAGATGAAATGGTGGTCAGAGATGGTCTTTTCAGTGATGGTGACATCAAAGACGCTGAGGCCCCGGGTGATCACCAGGTCGAGCGGGTGACCGTGGGTGTGAGTAGCAGAGTGGATGTGGAGGGAGAGGTTGAGAGAGGAGAGGAAGAGAAGTCTGAGGAGATGGAGCAGGAGGGGGTGAAGTGGAGGTTGAAGTCACATAATTTTGAAAACTTCTGTTAAGTCTCCTCTTAACCTTCTCTGCTCCAAGGAGAATAATCCCGGCTTCTCTGAGCGCAGTCTCGAGCTGAGGCCTAACCGGTGTTTATAAAGGTTCATCATAACTTCCTGACTTGTGTATTCTATGCCCCTATTTATAAAGCCCAGTATCCCGGATGCATTATTAACAGCTCTATCTGCCTGTCCGGCCACCATCAAAGATTCACCGCCACTCTCTGCTTTCTGCCTCCATGCTGTCACTATCCCTTTAATATCATGGGCTTCTATTTGCTTACAAGTCTCTCATGTGACATCTTATCAAACGCCTTTTGAAAATCCAATCCATATAAACTACATAAACTATTAGTCAAGCTGCTAATCAAACCAAAATACACTGGGTATCAAATGAATTGCTTCAAAACGATTTTACCTCAAATGGATAATCTGCAGCCAAAATCTGGTAAATAGCTTCTGGTGCACACGGGGAACTCTGCAAACCCACAAAGCGGAACTGGAGAGAGGAAGGAAGAGATTCATTCCATTAATCCAACACTGAACACGTCTGACAGCAGCACTCTGCTGGTACAGAGGGAGGGAGGGCCCTCTCTACAGGCTTGCAAGCCAGAAATTCCCGTGAAGAGCCAATTTAACAGCAGACTGGATCCTCTATCTTCAAAACTAAAAGCGAAAATGTTATAGTTTAATACTCAATGAATAACATCTGAGACTGAGGAGTGTCAGGCAGGGGGTCCTCAGTAACACTCCTCAGGACAGTCACTAATCCTCCAGTTAACTTGGCTACGTGACTCCAGACTCCTCTTTGAGGATGTAACACGTGGAAGACAGCCAGGAACCAAACATGTTGCTCTTCGGCACTTGCGTGTTTAAAAGCCAGAGAAACATTTCTCACAGATCCAGAGGACAAAATGTTCCTCTCCTTCTCCCTCCCCCTGGGTTTCCTTCTTCCTCACCGTCTATCTGCAGGACGTCGCTGGTAGAAACGTAGGGACATAGAAACAGGAGGAGGCCATTCAGATCTTCGAGTCCGTTCCGCCATTCTATAAGATCATGGCTGATCTCCAAAAATATAATAATGATAATAATTTGATCACTCAATCCATGACTGTTTGTGGGACGCTGCTGCACGCAATTGGCTGCTGTGTTTTGCCCACAAAATATACAGTCAATTCACTTTACAGTATATTCTGTGAAGCGCTTTGAGACGTCTCGACGTGATAAGGCGCTGTATCAAATGCAAGGATTATTATTAATTATTATTAGTATTATTATATAGCGGGCGGGTGGCCAGCCAGCACTACCCTGTGTAGGTGTTTGAGTGTCACATCTATGTGCAAATCACCCTCTGTACCTTCACATCAATCTTGGCAGCCAGAGAAATGCAGCACTGTGAACACTGAGCAGCGATTCCTCCCACTCAGCTCCTGTTAACCCGGCAAACCAAAACCCTAACTGGTAGGGCTCTCTTTCATTTCTAAGAGAAATCAGAGAACAGCGCCTGAACCAAAGCTGCAGCTGGTGACTGACGGGAATCTGAGAGCTGAAACAGAATCTCTCATAATCTCAGAACCAGACCAAGCGATTACTACCTGTTATGAAATAAGAGAAAGAGAAACGTTTTTGCAAAATGCTAAATATGCCATTCAACACCAGAAACAATCAAAATATCTGAATAACAATGAATCATAATACCCACCGGACAATCTTTAACACTTTGATATTGATGTTAAGACTAACTGGTATGAACATCAACAGCAAATGTGATATCAAGAGGTAACGTAACATCACAATAATCTGGGACTCACACGTACATACAGATAGAACAGTAATCTGTAATAAACCTGATATCATCATAGAAAACAGCTAGATTGCAGACAATTGCCGTACAGCAACGTCCCACAAACAGCAGTGAAGTGAGTGACCAAATTTTTTTTAAACGTTGGCGAGGACATCAGGGAAGCACCCTTCTCTTTTCAAATGGTGTCCACCTGAACAAGCAGAGAGGACCTCGGTCTAACATCTCACCTGCAGGGCAGCAACTCCCACAAGGCAATGGACTCCTAGCGCTGCACTGGAGTGTCATCTTAGACTATGTGAGTTCAAAACCCAACGTGGGGCTTGAACCCAAAATCTTCTGACTCACAGATGAGAGCGCTATAAACTGAGCTAAACACAGTATAAAGTATATACACTGTAGTTTTGAGATGCAAGGACTATTATTTATATGACCTTACATTAGATCAGCGTGTGATTCACCTCTGGGTAATAGACCATCTATTTCAACCAAACCATTACCACAAGAAAGCAAACGGTTGGCAAACACTCACTGGATTGACAGTCGCTATCTCAGACAGCTTCTCCCCCTCCTCCTGCAGTTTGGATTGAAGCCAGAAAAAGCGGAAATCTGTCTGGTTTTAAACAAAAAGAAAAATTCAATATTTTTTCTCCCATACATAACTGTTTGATAAACCCATTAATGTCAATTCTTTGCACTTTAGTCATTTGTTTGATCTTTTATTGTTGTCTCCCCATGACCTCTGGGAAACCAGCCTCACTGAATGAGGAGAGTTTAATCCTCACATTAAATAAAACACTGAAGATCTCTCACACATTTGGCATCTTACAAATAAACTGAACAGAACAATAGATGTGCTTTCATAAGAATGATCTTTGAGAATGAGGTCGCAAAGGGAATCTGCAAAGGTTTCGCTAGTTAAACTCCAACAGTACACTCTGGGGTCCCCAAGCCTTGGCTCTTGCCAACAGGTACCTAATACTCTCTGGAATACTCTCTGAAATTAGGCAAGTAGGATGTGTCCCTCTGGGGAGAGCACACATTCCATCCCAGACCCAGGGACATTTCCATACACAAGATTTGGTTAATCTTCAGTATGGTGATGAGTTTCTGTACATGTCTACATTCAGTTGACCAAAACAAATCTTTCTACAATATCTATCTATCCTGTGACTGCAGAATAAGGAGATAAACAACAGGAAGGAAAGTTAATGATCAAGGTATTGATGTCTGGCAAATATTGTATTTCACCTTCATACACACCTGGCAGTCATAGACTGGGTGACCTCTCCAGCACATCACATCCAAGACAAAAAAGGTTCTGTTCACTTCATTGTAAATACAGTCCAGAATTGTGTAATCTGTAAAAGGAAATTCAAGAGACTAAGTCAGCCCACGATTAACCATTAGGGTCATTGAAGTGAAGAGATGTGGGAACGGAAATTAAATTGGAACCTGTATAGTGTAACCCACCACCTGGCTCCCCGGGAAGCACTGACCACAGCATCTTATTAAAGTCAAACAGAACTTCATAATGAAACTCTCTCTAGCCCACTGCTTGCTTTGACTCAATGCATCCATCGAGTTATTAATAATAATCCTTGCATTTGATATAGTACCTTATCACATCTTCGAGACGTCTCAAAGTGCTTCACAGGATACACTGTAAAACGAATTGACCGTAAATTTTGTGGGTGAAATGCGCCGGCCAATTGCACACAGCAGGGTCCCACAAACAGTCATGGATTGAGTGACCAACTTATTTTTTTTGACGGGATTATTATCCCTGGAAAAGCGATCTGCCAATCGACTAACAATCCTACTTACTGCTGGGTAATCAGAGGCGTGTGGAGTAAGGAAACTTGTCCAATATTTCGTCCTGCCTGGGAATGAAACCCAAGTCCTCTCAAATGCGAGGTGAGTGCTCTAACCACTAAGATACAGGACTGTGTTTGCCGTGAGCTTACCTTTGCCTGCGGCAGAGTTCTGTCGGTTTCCCCCAGGGAGCTGAGACGGGAAGCGATTCACACAGAAGCCGCTCTTTGTGTAGGCCGCTGTGCTTCCCTGGTCACAGAGGGCAAAACCCTGTCAACATACCAACCAACCAACCAAACCACCCACCAAACCACCCTCCCCAGCACTCCCTACACTAACTACACAGTAACCTGCTTCTAAAGGGTGACCAAAAAGTAATGATACCATTACAGTGTCTAATAAATTTCTTACAGAAATGATAATTATATATTTTAAAATGTTTAAATAATAGGGTAGCTATCACAACTTTTTGATCACCCTGTATTACTGTACAAAGCAGCTGATAGACCAGGACACAATACCACGCATTCAGGTTAGTTTTACTGATATACTTGCCTCCTGTCTCCATCAGTCACTCTGACTAAAGAAAACATCCAGACTGTTTCACACAATCAGCACGTTTATACCATCCCATCTGACCCCCTCCTTCACTTCAGATAATCCCATTTAAGTCACACTAACTTTACCCAATTTCCCTTCACAATAATTTTACAGTAAGGCCCTCTCATGCACATTATCTCCTACGTGTTATCTTGTACTGAACAGTAGAAACAGAGGACATGGCCTGCGATTGAAGGGTGTAAATTCAGAACAAATCTGGGGAAACACTACTTCAGTAAGAAAGTAGTAAACGTATGGATAGATTTCTGCTAGAAAATATTATCTGGGGATACAGTATATAGTTTGCGACATGACATGTCAAGCAACTGCCAGGATAGTGGAAGGCAAACTAGATGGATCTTGGTCTTCTTTCACCAGCAAATTCTTAAGTTCTTATATTCTTCTCCAGGAGCTGGCCTACACTGACTAACCCTAGCCATTAAATGCTAAATCATTAAATGACGAATTATTGAACCCTGATAAATGTCCCACAAACTCGCAGGTTTTCTAAAGCCCCATAAAACTAAGTCTCTCTGAAAGGAATCCCAAACTTGAATGGGAAATAAAACCTAGATTTTATCCCCCCCCCCCAACTTTTCAATATTAAAGAGTCCGACATTCATAGAATAGTAGAACATTACAGCACAGAAGGAGGCCATTCGGCCCATTGTGCCTGTGCCGGCTGTTTGGAAGAGCGACCCAATCAGTCCCACTTCCCCGCACCTTCCCTAAATCCTTGTAAATTTTTCCTCTTCAAGATCCTATCCAATTCCCTTTTGAAAGTTGGCATTGAATCTGTTTCCATTCTTTCAAGAGCCCAAAGTAAATCATAAACAGCTCCAGCACCCAGAGGTACCAGAAACACAAGACATGTGGGATTGTCACCCACAATTTTGAAGCCTAATCCTAACCCAAATGCTACAATGAGGATATCTACACCTAAAATTACAATTAATAATAATCCTTGCATTTCAAACTGCGTCTTTCACAAGTGTCAGGAAGACGTCTTAAAGTGCTTCACAGGGTATAATCTGTGAAGGTTAATGCCTACAATTAGCTTTTAGAGTTTACCCTTTCTGGTGTAGATTAAATACCTTTCTTTCCACTTCCTTCTGCCCTCTCTTCAATTATAACAGTCCAATTCCACCATCTCAGCCAGCTAGCCTGTCACTGGGCTCTGATCCAGGATTCTTTGAAACACAAAGCTGTGTTGCTGCTCTTCTCTGCAGGACTCATATTGAGAAGCGGGTTTAGTTTGTTTGTTTTTCTAATGTAGTAATTTCAGGGAATATCAAGCCTCATTTATTGGTTCTACAAATTCATACCAGCAAACGTCACCAGTGTAAATCAGCAGCAACAACAACTTGCATTTACACAGTTAACGTGGAGCAGCGTCCCAGAGCACTTGACAGCACAACGCCGAGTTGGGGGGAGGTGACCGTAAGCACGGTCGAAGAGGAAGCTCTTTAGGCGCGACATGAAGATGGGAAAGGAAGGGGCAGTGCGGGGCATGAAGCAGCTGCTGGTACTGGCTGACCTTGGGAACCCATGGCTGAGATGTTAAGAGCCTCACAGGGCTGCTGACTCACGTCAGTCCACGGGTTGTCACTACCTACTTTGGAAGCTACGATGAGACAGCGTTTTCCAGTGGGACAGACCACGAGGAGCCACTGCTCGGCCAGGTCACTGGGCACGTCCACCAGCCATTCCGAGAGCATCAACTGGAAGAGACACAAACACACACACAGTTACACAAAGCAGAGACACAAACATACACGCTCCCGACACAGTGAAGCCCTCCTCCTGTTTCCTCTACTAAAATCCTGTGCTTTTTTAAAAAAAATGGAATATAAAGTGAAACTTTTTCCCTACAGACAGGACAATGAGAAAATAATTGTTACATTCAGTACAGCATCTTTCACGCCATCCTAAAGCACTTCACAGGATTTACTGTACTGCAAAGTGCAGTGACTGTGTTTTTATGGGCAAACACGGCAGCCGATTTGCGAACAGCAACGTCCCTGGCAAATAGCCATAAAGTGAATGACAGTTTTATTAAAATCAAAGAGAGGTGATGGGACATTGCCTCGATTCAATCTAATGAAGAGGAGACGAGAAATGAAAGGGGTCGAGGGCAGCACTGCTGGGCTCGATTTGTTTATCAGAGCTGCCCGTGTGAGCCAGAGTAGAGCACACACTGTCGGAATATCAAAGAGGTGAGAAAACATCTCACCAGCAATGAAGCAACTGTGAGGTCAGTGTTAACAGACTGCTCAACCCTCCCACCCCCTGAGCTTTGAGGACTGGTATATTAAGATGCCTCAAAGTGCCCCACAGTAATTGCTCTCAAACTCAGTCGTTGTTTTATGGGCAAATACAGATCTGTACGGTTCCACAAACACACACACGAGCTGAACAATCAACCAATCTGGAGGACTATTGGCTGGGAACCCGAGGAGCAACTCATTTTAAATCACGTCATACTTACAGTAATCCAGGCCTACGGTAAAAAAACTTAAAAGAACTTGGGGAGTAAATTCATTGCCTCAGAAAGATTGCATACAATTGTGACACCAGTGAATCTGATACACGTGACATTGACCAATGCAACTGTATATAGCAAATAATGTGTAGACTGATGCTCTGGCACATTACTAGGAGAATGCTATCCTGTGTGTGAGAGTGTATGTGTGTGTGGGGCGGGGAGAACCCACTGGACACTACAACACCGGCCTGTGGCTGCCGAGAGCTTTTGTGGCATTGCCCACATTGCTGTTCGTAACCTAATAAATCCCCTTAATCCCATTTTGGCTCTGATTGATTCATCTCCAGATCTGTGTTCATCGTAGATCAGAATCATAGAATTATACAGCACAAAAAGAGGCCATTTGGCCCATCGTGTCTGACCCGGCTCTTTGAAAAGAGCTTTGAAATCAACGCACTCCCCCGCTCTCTCCCCATAGCCCTGATCAACCCCACTCCCCCACTCTCCCCCCATAGCT